TCGGAAATTACACCTAGTGCGATGCTATCTAGATTGGGGAATGTACGAAACCCTGGCTGGAACGCAACAGGCGAGCTGGTGCAACCAAACGTTTTTGCGCAATTTCGTGCTGTGTGGCAAAATAGTAAGAAGTACCGCAAGAAATAAGAAGTACCCGAAGAAGACTCCATAGAAGAGCTGAATCAGAAATCTTTTAGTCGCATTTGAATAGGGAACATTCCCTTAAAATTTCGGCCTTTCAACTTTTCTCATTCCCGAGTTGGCAGTTTTTCTGCCAAAATTTTCACGTGCCCGTACGTGAGACGTGGACGTGCGTGACAGTTGATATCACATTCCTGGGTCACACTTAGCCAGGGAACACAATGGTAAAATTTCATCATCATTGCGTGGCTGGCGAGTAAAAATACCCGGACAGGCGAGCGCATACATGCAGACAAAATTGTTACAATATGCGTTTTTGCTGCCTGTTACAGCGCTCTGGCGCTGCACTGCAAAAACGCATAAAAAGGGAAATAATTGTAAAATTTTACTCTGGTGACGATAAAACTAATGTGAATGACATGGAACATCTTGGAGTGGTGTTGCTGAGGTAACTGCATGAGAATCCACTTGGACATACACAGGTTTGACCACCAGGAAGTTGAAGTCCTTGGTCAACATAATTTTTGAGCTGTATTTGTAGTAATAGATTTGCTGTTGTCGAGCCATTTGTTGATGCAGAATTTTGCTCCTAAAAAGTAAAATACAAGGGTCTTCGACTTTTCCTTTAGCGAGTTTTTCGCCTTTAGCAAGTTAAATATTTTTGGAAGTTTTGAGGCAACAGTAACAGCATTTGAACTTAATACAAAAATACAGACAAAATGTATGTCGTTTTTTCAAATAACCACTGGAAAAATCGACATAAACTTTCCCTTGAAGCTAATATTAGATAAGAGGACAGAAAAATTAAAGTTAGGGAGAACGGAAAAGAAGGAAGAATAAGAAAACTTATGTTTCTTTGATAAATCTCAGAAACTGACTTACTGGCTGAAACATCTGTGCGCTTTGGTACATATTTGTAAATTCACCGTGGTCATTGTAATTGTGGCCAGCAGAGTAATAAATCTAAAAAGTCGTTTTAGCATTTCATGCTTCAGCAGCAGATTTTGTGATACGATCTAATCGAGGATGTGTTTCATTAATAATGAAATCTCCATGTTTCATCCATAAAAATTCTATGAAGAAATCTAAGATTCAAATATCTATGAGATCTGTGACAGTAACTCATGCTTATCCAGGAACTCTGAATAATTGGCCATTGTAAATTTCACGTAAGTGCTTGCTAAAGACACTGCCCAACCTATTACAAACGCATGCATAGCCCAGTGCAAATAACGTGCATGGGGCAAAATATGCAAAGAGCATTCAGATAATGCGCAGGGTTGCGCCTTGTATCATATACGTAAGTACAATACGGGTTATATATACGCAGTTCAGAGGTGCTAGTATATACCCGAAGGACGTGGGTAATACATGATTTCTTGAGAGACTATGACAAGATTACTTGAACAAGTTCTGCACAATACTTGCACCCTGAAATTTTGTATTTGAAGATCTGGGCGTTCCATTCTCCAAATACTGCAAAAGTGGTCAACCTGTAAGCACTTGATTCAGTCAACGTAAGAAGCTGTGGACATTGACCTTAAACAGTTTCGCATCTGAAAGCCAAAGAGGGTGCCATCGCGGTTATAATGCATTTCAAGCTTTTGAAAACTTTCGTAACTAGCAATTCCTTGAATTTTTGGTAAAACGACATTTTTATTTCGAGAATTTATGCCTGAATACACTTACCAATGACCTCCAAGAAGTAAAAAGTTATGCAAAATTTCAATAATGCGCAATAACTTACATTATCCACGGGTACTGGCTCTCGCTCGTGGTTGTTGCGGTTATGCAGCCCAGAATTTGAGTTGCGATTGCTGCTTCCATGCAAATTGTTGTTGTGGCCGATGATGTTGCGATTTGCACCGAGGTGGTTTCCATTGGCAGTATCGGCATGTTCGAAACAGATCAGCAGCAATGAAGTAGCAATTACAGAAATATATGCCATTAGAAATGTAAGCAACGTTTGAAATACAAATCGGTGGTTTTTATTTGTTTATACGGCGAAAACTGCCGTTCATAGAAACCATAGAATAAAGCT